GTACAACACAAACAGAGCTTTGTCACTGAACAACTCCCTGACTTTAAACAGTACTCCTTTAGATTTAGATATTTTTGTTCTTAAATAATGAATGTGAGGTCTCCATGTCAGCTTGTCATCAATGATGACATCCAGAAATTTCACCTCACTGACTCTACAGATCTCAATACATCTACTTTAAATGAGAAATCAACAGTTGTCTTCCTGTTACTAAATATCATATAATTTGTTTTAACCAAATTTAATGACAATTTGTTTTGTTGAAACCAATTTAGTATTTTCTCAAATTCTTTCTGTACCATCTCAAACATTTTTTCTATATATTTACCTAAAGAAAAAAATGTTGTATCATCAGCAAATGAAACACATTTGAAAAGTCCTGACACAGTCATTCACATTTAAAATAAATAACCTGGTTCCCAGTACAGAGCCCTGAGGGACTCCACGTGTGATGTTACCTAATTTAGATCTTACACCATTTATTTGTACAAACTGTTTCTTATCTTTCAAATAACTAGATACCCATTGTAGTGCCGACCCTCAAATACCATATTTACTTAATTTTTCAAGAATACTGTGATCAGTTGTGTCAAATGCTTTCTTTAAATCTACATAAATACTCAATAGTGTTTTTGATCAACAGCAGTGGTAACAAGGATAYTGGTCTGTAATTTTTGAACATATGTTTCTCACCATTTTTAAAAAAGAGGAATTACCTTGGCAGTTTTCATATTGTCAGGCGACACCATAATTTTACCCGCATTTGGCCAGTGGCGGGTGCTAATTTCCACCCCTGGCTGTGGGAGATGAAGACTGGAAAGTTGAGCACCACACTGTGGGAACCAACCATTACAGGACTACTCAGCAGAATGTTGTGGTACTAGTTTCTCGAAAAACAACTTTTTCTGTATCAAATTRTGTAGCATTTTTGGATTCTCAGTTTAAAGTACAGAACTGAACTGTGTTTTCCACTGTAATGTTTATTAAAGCAGTATAATCCAACAGTGAAACAATGTCAATTATAAGTTTTAACAAGCTTCTAGATGGACTCATGTTCTGTCACATTATTAGAACATACATTTGGCTTCACTCTGTCTTATATATTTTTTTTACTATTTAAATGCCCAGTTTTGTGTTTTCTGCTTTAAAAATCTGCAGACCAAACACATATCACATCTTCCTTAACTCAATTATTACTTCAACATGTTGCACGTGGCCTCAGGTAATAAAAATGCTCAAATGTGTGCAACATATTTGAGTATTTTGTGCATTTCACTGTGAAATGTTGCAGCTTTTCTGGTGTCCATCCGTCCAGAAAGCAAGAATCTAACTGTGAACATAGACTTGAACACAAACTGCATGCAGGAAAAATACAGGACAAATAAATAAAGTAAACCATGTTAAAGAGGAAAAAAACGATGACAAACAGATGAACACATTCTGACCAAGAGGAAATTTTGAGGAACGAACATTTTGTAATGTTCACATCACCACAAAGACTGGAGTAAGGACAGGAACAGATTTTAATGTGAACATTTTCCCCACAGCTACTGGTTACAGATTTATGAGTCAGCTTTACAGCAGCACAATGACAAACCATTTTAAAAGCACAAAGGAACCAGCAGCCAGTTTGGTTTGGGGGAAAAAATACAAGTGGAACAANAAATAAAATTTTGGCCAACATAAGTTACAATGGAACAAAACTATAAAACAATTCTATGTATTATATATTTAACAACATTTATGGTTGCAGAGGTCTTTTTTTAAAGTTTAAAAGTAAACTTTTTAATGAACATTAAAAGAGTAAAACAAAAAAGATAACATATATTGTGTTGCCAGGCGTCAAAAGAGAACCAAGCCTGCCAAGTTTCTTAACACTGAGCTATTGCAAATTAATACACAATTACTGAATAAAAYGTAGCTTCATAAAAGTTATTGTATTAAGCTTATGTTTAGGCTGTCTCTAGTTCAGATGGAGGCAGCTGTTTGCTGGGTTGTATGCACTGCTAAAGATTTTTGTTACTGAACCATAATTAAAATAATAGTTAGAGCAGATTTAAGCCCAAACAAGCAGAAACAAAGCCTGAAAGACTGCAGCCATCATTACCAGTTTTTCTTTTCAASWGATTTTTTACAGAGGAATAAGCACAGACACTTGAAATAAACAAACAGTGGCTGGAAACCGGTGTACACATAATGCTTTCTTCTGTGTTGGTTTCACACAATGTTGCACAGTAATAGGACAATTACAGGAACGTTGTCAGCTGTTGACAAGTAATGAATTTGGCATAAGAGCAACTTGAGCTTCTTGAAATTCAGTCAGTGACTGTGCTTTGGGATAAACTGTCAGGTTCAATCAGATTGTCCAACATCATGCGAACAAATCCCTGCAGCCAGGCTTTAAAGTCCTTTTAGAAAGGCTTCCTGGATTAATGGAGGTCATTATTAGAACAGATGGTTCAGGAATGTTCAGGATTTCCAGGCTTGGGTTTAGACATTAAGGATGAATGAGGAGGGAGAATAACTTTAGTTGAGAGCATCAGTGGAGATTTGGACCACCTCGTTGCTGTTGGCTCTGCGATTCAGAGGGATTGCCGTCATCTTTGAGGCAACTGAAGAGTGGCCATTCTCYGACAACCAGTCAGCACAGTGGAACAGAACCAGGAAACACCTGTAGAACTGAGAGGGAAAGGGATCATGAGAGCATCACACCACTAGGGTGATGGTTTTTAAATATTATTGTCATGTAAGGTGATGTGCCAAATTTCTGGCTGCTATGAAAACTCAGACATAAACATTCTAGGCTCTTTCAGAAGTCACCCCATAATGTTACTGATGTGGAGGGCAGAGATATCCCATCTGTTGCACCTCTTAAACTCTGTGTGAAGTAGTGACAGAAATGTTACCCCTGAAAAGGTGGGCCGGCACAGTGCTGACTGACACTTTTGGGGACCACCCAGCTGCAGGTTTCTTGAGTTAAAACACCATAGCTGGACTCCTTTTCAGATTTAAACTTTCGGTGGGTTGTTTTTTTTTGTGTGTGTGTGTGTGTGTGTGTGTGTGTGTGTGTGTGTGTGTGTGTGTGTGTGTGTGTGT